TCAGGGTCTCTGGGCAACTGGATTTGGTCTGGAGTGTTTTTGGGTGGCTTCAGCTGGTTGATGGGGGGTGGTGGGGGGTGGGTGCAGGAGGTTGACACACTGTCATGACAGACCCAGGAAGAGTGGATGGATTTCTTTCCTAACCACAACAGAGGCAATATTGGAGATGAACCTATCAGTCATGCAGAGATATATCAGACTGTATATAGCTCAGTGTCAGAACAAATCAGCAATGTGCATTAAGTTATTACAAATATAATTTACTCAAGCAAAGATTATTAGCCAAAGGTTTAAACTGCGCAAATATATCAAACTCCCCTTTTTGAAAAATAATACACACATATGCCCAATCTTCAAGTCTAGAGAAAGAACGCTTTGCAAAATGTTATCATAAAAGTACTTTGGGCAAGAAGCATTTAAATTCAGAGAGGAAAAGGGAATTATTAACAGATTGTCCCAAGTGTTGCTCTGTAGCCAAAGTCACTAACACATAGGGTGTTAGCATTGACATGTCTTCCTGGATCTGTCATAGCTGGCTAAATTCACTTTTCTGGAGAGAGTCATGTTGATTTCATATTCTCCTTTAGGAATTATCCACTTGTGGTGATGACGTTTTCCAGTGGGTTTCAACTCAAACTTTGATGAAATGAGTTTTGTGGAAAGAGAGAAGAGAGAGAGACTGAGAAAGAGAGAGAAAGAGAGAGAGACAGAAGGAACTTTCTCTTCAAGAAGAGTCTCTCTGTCTGCCTGTGTTCAAATCCAACAGATTGACTACACTGGCAAATTAGCTCATGTGACTTCTCTCTGAAGGTGTTTGTACACTCTGTGACTCCATTTGACTGGTTTGTGTTCTTGTAAAATGTCCTTTCCAACAAGTTGAAGGTATAGGTATAGGTCTATTGAGTGATATCCTAAATTACTATTGGGAAGATGTCAGATAAAGATGGGATCAGGCTTGGCTGCGTTGTCCTCTAAAAGAACTGGACATTGGTCTACTGTTAAGGATGGCCAATCAGTCAAGGTCTCATGACGTTTCCATAGATTATGGATGTGTAGCCTAGCAACAGTAACCATTGTCAGATGAGGAGGAGATACCAGAAAAATAACTTGGCTATAGGTCCACTCTTTATATTAAATTACAAGTTAACAGCTCAGAAACAGGCCATTTGGCCTAACAAGTTAACATTCGTCCACAATATCAGGCTTTATACAAAGCCCCTTCCACTTGACTTCATCCCTCCCTAACAGCATCACCTTCTATTCCTTTCTCCCTCATTTGATTATCCAACTTCACCCAAAAATACTGCTTGCCTCAACTACTCCTCGAGGTTCCCCATTCTCATCATTCTCCCGAACACTGCATAGGCCTGTGCTGATGGACCTGGACACTGCTGGCTGAAAACTTTCTGCGTTTGTTTTGCTGAGGGTCAAAGGTCAAATGGGTTCAGGCAGGCTCAAGCCAGCTCGTGGTGAGGAGTTGTCTGGGACACATTGCTGACTCAGATTAATGAACCAAACTGGCACCACACTGGCAAACCTATTCGGAAAGGATGGCTAGCATCAGAAATGGAAAATGCCAGAATGGTGCTGCCCTCAGGTTCAGATTGGGACATGAGTGAATCAATGGAGCTTTCTCACGACACCAGTGGTTGGAAATGGAAAAAGACGATTGTGTTCCCCGACACTCACCATCTCAACAACATGGGAACCAAACATTGGAAACTCAATATTGTCTCTCCAACAAATACCCAAGCAGATACATGGGAACACCACCCCCTGCAGGTTCCCCTCCAAGCCACTCACCATCCTGACTTGGAAATATATCGCCGTTCCTTCAGTGTTGCTGGGTCATAATCCTGGAATTCCCTCCCTAAGGGCATTGTGGGTCTACCTACAGCACATGGACTTCAGCGGGTCAAGAAGGCAGCTCACCACCACCTTCTCAAGGGGACAAGTTACGTCACTTAAGAGACATTTGGACATGTACATGCTTAGGAAAGGTTTAGAGGGATATAGGCCAAACGCAGGCGAATGGGGCTAGTTTAGTTTGGCAAACCTGGTCAGCATGGACGAGTAGGGCCGAAGGGTCTGTTTCCAGCTGTGTGCCTCTATAACTAGGGATGAGCAACAAATCCTGGCCTAGCCAGTGACACCCACATCCCACGAATGAATAAAACAAAACACCCAAAGCAATGAGTGTGTAATTTCTTTATTTTACTGGCTTTAGACTGTTTAGAGAGGGCATATTTCTTTTGCTGGGGGGAGATCGAGAACAATCGGGAAATCTCTAAACATGTCTTTACACAAAGGGTCGTGGAAATCTGGAACCCTCTCCCCTGCAACCATAAAATAGTGGGAGCTGGAGATAGTTTGAAAATTTCGAGTTTGAGATTGATATCTTGCCATGTGTTCCCAAAAGACCAGTACCATCTGCTTTTGCCCTGTACCGTCATCCCTTTTAACATTTCGTCTCTTTCGGTCTTTCTCCTTACCTTTCTATCTCTCCCAGTGCCCTTGCTTCTCTACTCTGGACTTGCTTCAGGCCTGCTATCTCTCTCTACCTTTCCAACTGTCCGCACTGACTCTCCACAGATGCCACCTTGGATTTCAGATTGCCAGCATCTGGAGTAGCCATGTTTTTAATTCACCCAAGGGACGTAGACGTCACTGGCCAGGAAGAGTATTTATTGCCCGTCCCTAATCGCCTGGAGGGCGTTTAACAGTCAACCGCATTGCTGTGGGACTGGAGTCACGTGTAGGCCAGACCAGGTAAGGATGGCAGTTCTCCCTCCCTGAAGGGCACTAGTCTAAATGCAGTAAGATCCAGATGGCATTCAGGCTCAGGTGGCAAGTAACATTGCTGCCAAAGGAGTGCCAGGGAATGATCATTTCCAC